AGCAGGGAAACTACAGTGCAGGCGGTTTTTAGTGCGAGGTACGGTTGTGCAAACATTCGTTCAGTTGACGAACGTTTGAGTATGCATCGTATACACGTCTCAATGTATATGTGCAATGTACACTTCGACTACATATCAATCGGTCTAGATAATTAAGAACAGATATTATTGCGTCAGTCAACCTAGGATCAAGCAATCAACTACCGAATGTAAACACCGTATATCAAAGGCCGTGATCACTAGATCGACCCGGCGACGTGTTAAAGCATCCGATACAATCCAGCCTGCATCCCGAGTTACGTAAAGGAAAGACGGTCAATGGCTGCGCGAGGGGCGGAGTTATGGAGTTATGGATGTTTCTGGCGACTTCGTCTGTGCAGTCTTAGTTGTCCGGTGATCAAACCCGGTCGAGACCTTGGGAGGTTCTATTTCAAGTTCCTTGGAAATGCCACCGGTTCCTATCAAAGTAAGGGTCACGGGTGTTGAGGATATACGATCAGGTAGGCCTATACAGACGAACCGTAGAAAAGGAAAAAGAAAAATCAAATAACTAACTAAATAAATAAAATAAAGCAATGATATGTAATAGGACATAAAAAAAATCAAAATCAAAACGAGAAAATTAAACTGGATAAATTATCCACGTTGAGACTTGTGGGCAAAACCCGTTGTTTCCATGACTGTTTCTCATTACTCGATATGAACCACAGTGGGTGATTCTCCTCCTCGGACTCCAAATCGGACGGAGTCCTTTTTTTTTTTTTTCTTTTTTTGTTTTTGAATTTTTTGAATTTTTTGAATTTTTCCTGACTAGTCTTACTCCCTATTATTTTCTTACCAACAACCCCAGACGATCTTAATCCAGACCAGTCAGCTAGTGGTTTAGTTGGGGACCTCATAGGACTGCTCGTCCATTGGGATGTCTCCATTCGTCCATATGACATACTTGCCCGTGCCTACTTATACCTTTACATACATCGGTTTCGTTTCCCCTCGGGCTTGACCTTGATCGAGAATAATAAGAGAAGACAACTTCCTCCCAAGGTTCATGGTCAATTGCACCATCGATTAAGCCCTCTCTCTTGCGACACCTGCGTTCCTATCCTCTTGAAGGGGTATACTTATTGTGGGCGCGAATCTCGGAACCGTTCCTTGGACCGATCCACCTTCCCTGCCTGTCGTTGTGAATTTTTTTTCTTTTTTCTTTTTTTTGTCAATCAGACCCGCGCACTGAATCAGATCCTCTGCGATCACCTCTTTTTCTCTTTCTGATTGCGAACCCCTTGATAATTATTTTAGTCACTGGCGGGGAAGTCCACCGGAAGCATTGCCAGTGGAAGGAGAGCATTCCGAAGCCCTTATCCATCTGGTCCGGGGCCATTAACTAAGAGAAAATACCTTGCGAGCCAACAATTAATTGGAACCAACAAAAAAAAAAAGAAAAAAGGAAAAGGAAAAAGGCACCACATTTCACACCCCCTGTGGATTGCGGCATCTCAAAGCAACGACCATCAGCTTCTATCAATCAACCTTTGTCTCCAACTCAGCGATCCGCTATCACTATCAAAAGAGAAAGGAAAAAAAAATAATTGCACCATTCAAGAAATCGATTGCGGCATTAAATTGCGCTCAATCGACAAAGCACAATTAGGGACCAAGTTCAGCAGCGCAGACCGAAACCCCACTGAGGACTTGGGAACCTGATACTACTAAATTGTGCCCCATCTCGTCCGACGACTAACCTAAACGGCCGGCCCCTCGTGATAATAATACTAAGCGTGTAAATCAACTCGTGCTCCTGATCCCACCAGACTTACTCCAGATTTTCTGTCGGAGCCGCCTTCTTCTTCATTGGCTTCTCTCTCGCGGTCAACTGCTCGTCTTTCGACCTGCGTCCTTTTCTACCCCGCATATCTTCTCTTCCTTTTAAAAACAAACCGTTGGAGGGGCTTTCCAAGTTGTTCTCGCATACGGCATCTCCGTCTCCCCGCGCTTCTTCTCCCCTCTTTCCTTCTCGCCCCCCTCCTTCCTCAGTACCGCCCCGAATGACACAACAGAAGACTATTGCTGTCGTGAACGCGACAGGCCGCCAGGCCGCTTCCCTTATCCGCGTCGCTTCCGCCGTCGGCCATCATGTACGAGCTCAGATTCATTCGCTCAAAGGCATCATTGCGGAGGAGTTGGAGAGTCTGCCAAATGTCACCTTGTTCCAAGGTCCTTTGACTGATAATGTCCCCCTGATGGACGCCCTCTTTCAAGGGGCAAATCTGGCCTTCATCAATACGACGTCACAATCAGGCGACGAGGTCGCAATCGGACGTGCGCTCGCTGATGCGGCCAAACGGGCTGGAACCATTCAACACTATATCTACAGCAGTATGCCAGATCACTCAGTTTACGGACCATGGCTGCCCGTACCGTTATGGGCGCCCAAGTTCACCGTCGAAAATTATATCCGGCAACTAGGGCTTCCCGCAACCTTTGTCTACGCCGGAATCTACAACAACAACTTCACCAGTCTACCATACCCGCTTTTCCAAATGGAACTCATGCCCGATGGGAGCTTCGAATGGCATGCGCCATTCGACCCGGACACGCCGTTGCCATGGTTGGATGCGGAACATGATGTTGGCCCGGCTCTGCTACAGATTTTCAAGGATGGCCCCAAGAAATGGCACGGTCACCGGTAAGTTTTTCCCTTGCGAAGCAGACACAATCCGCCGTGCGTGCGAGGCTAAGAATGGCATAGGATTGCCCTGACATTTGAAACCCTTTCCCCCAACCAAGTGTGCGCAGCATTCTCGCGAGCCTTAAATCGCCCGTGCCACTACGTTCATGTGTCCAAGGTCGAGGTCAAGGTGAATATCCCGCCCGGATACCGAGAACAGCTGGAGGCGATCGAGGAGGTCTTTGGTCGCTGCAATGCGCCTTACTTCCCGCAGCCCGAATTCTCCCGTCCTGCAGCAGGTTCCCCCAAGGGCTTGGGCCCGGCCAATGGGAAAGGCGCGGCGCCGGCATGATGCAGGGTCCCGGAGGAGTCGTATCGCTGAGAGTCACCGACGAGGCTCGGCACCTGTGGGAGGGCTGGCGCGATATGGAAGAATATGCGCGTGAGGTTTTTCCGGTCGAAGAGGAGGCCAATGGATTGGACTGGATGCTGTAACCGGGAGATGCTTCTCTCGGTCAGATACACTCCAACCGGTTTAGGGGGCAGTCGCACAGACATCGCGGCTTTCTGACGTTATCGGAACACGCCACGATTGGTCCGATATGCTCGCATGCCCCTTTCGCTCTCCCCTCCTCCTTCTGTTTTACGCCTCTCCCTGTCACCCCTTGTTTTCCTTTTATTAATAGCATTAACGGCGAATCGGCCTGGGTCTTATCGTTGAGGAAAAGTATCCTAATGGAGCGGGGAAACAAAAAGAAAAGCTTCCACAGCTCTTATCTTACCTCGGACGAGAAGACAGAAAAAAAGTAATGGTTTGTTTTGATTGGAACGGTACGGTTGGATGAAACGCACGTCACGACATGCAGCATGATGACCAGTGGCCCGTCCGCCACAAAAGTTGATTGATTGGCTATATTTCTTTTTCTTTCATACCTTTGATTACCCGTCTACTTTACTTATTCCCCTCGTGTGTTACGACTCACACCGGCGGCTGTTTGATGATTTGAAATTTATAATCCATCTCTGATCTGATTGGATGTGAGAGAAGTGTGATATGTGTGTGTATGTGTGTGTTCCAGTGTCTTGTGCACGATGATCCCGTCTTGCAAGGCAGCAGCGGGGAGGTTGATTAGCATGCTTCATAGAGAGAATGGCTAATACCGCGAATTGACGATGGCAAACCTCATTGCGACCAAGAATCCACCTACGAACGACGGGTGAAGTCAAAATAAACTAACGCAAATCCTCTTCAACCTAAAGGGAGGGCAGAAAAAGCAAAGAAAACCCCCCCGGATCCCTTATCTCCCCGCATTTAGCAAGATCCTAGGCAATCTCCCCTTGAGTTTTATCAGCGAAAAGACCCGGAGTTCAATTAAAACTCCGACGTCACCAGTAAATTTAGAGGCCAACGAGCGCAGAGTCTAACCACTTAGCCTAAAGTATAGCCTTGCTTATCGGGGAGCAAAAAAGAAAACAAAAAAAAAAGCAACGTGACCTTGTCTGGGCCTTTATGGATGGATTTCTACTATTCATCCTATGATTGGTCTTGACCTGTTCTGGGCGAGAGGGATTGTTTACTACTAGTAGTAGCTAGGTAGTAGAGTACTAGAGGAATAGTGGTTGGTCTGAGGTTGGATATAGATCACGCATTGAATGGAGCCGGTATTAAATGTTCCAGGGTGACATTGCTAGTGGTTGTTAGTATGGAAGGAGTGGTACTTCTCTGAGGGAGCTGAGTGCTTATTATCATGGGGATATAGATCGGGACGCATTGAATCGGGCATTTATCGATAGGACGGCATCGGTTTTCTCTGTGATACCGATTTTTCTATGTATACTATTTTTGTATGGCAATGATGCTTTGTGCTATATATAGTATTCTCATTGTCTTGTTTCATCTGAGCGTACTGTAGATGCTGGGTCTAGAGACTACTAGTAGTATGTATGTACATGATGAATACAGACTGACAAGGCATGACATTAATGATGATGATGGATGGGAACGGAACCATGGCCGACAGCTCCTGATTGGCGGAAGGTTGCTTGCTGCCGGACAGCGTTAGTGTGAGCAGGTGACTGGGCCTGAGACGCCGAGTCCAGGCGGGAGCGCAATTGCGATAGTCCGTCTGCGCGGAGTAAAGTTTTTGAAGAATTTAAAAATTTCTGATCGCGTCTTCCCCATCTATCTCCCCTAACTCTACAATCATCTCCTCCCCCCCTTTTTTCCCCTCGGGTTTCGCATAGAATTGCCTCCCGAATCGTATCTTCCAAGCTGCTCTTACCCCTTTTCTCGCCAGTTTTATTCGACCGAGCTTAGGTCTTCATCGCCATCATGTCCACCGACTTTGGAGCTTCGTTGCTGGATCGCCTCCAGGGATCCGAGCCCACCGAGGCGCAATTGAAGAAGATGTCTTTCCTCGAAGAGAAGCGCTCTCGCATTGACGTCGATTGCCGTAAGTTTGGCATCGATCGCATCGAGCGCTGTGCAGTATAACTAATTCTAGCAGTTCGCGACAACACCCTGAAGATGCGTGATTGGTACAACGAGCGCGATGCCTTCGTCAACGGAAACGATGAGATCAAGGAGAACTTCTGGGTTCGCGTCTTCGCCAATGCCCCCAGCGAGATCGACCAGTACATCATGACCCCTGACGCGGCCGCTCTAGGCTCTACCCTCAAGAACCTGAAGGTGGACCGATTCGAGCTCAATGAGCAAGGCCAGGGTGAGCCTCGCAGCATTCGTTTGACCTTCGAGTTCCGCACTGGCGAGGAAAACCAATTCTTCGAGAACGAGAAGCTCATCAAGGAGCTCTACTGGCGCAGGAGGTCCGTCAAGACCGCCGATGGAAAGACCAAGTCCTGGGAGGGTCTTGTCTCAGAGCCCGTTCGTATTCAGTGGAAGAAGGACATGGATCTCACCAAGGGTTTGCTCGATGCGGCTTGCGATCTGGCCGAGGCCGAGAAGGGTGGAAAGGACCGCAAGAAGCTCCCGGAGTTGGAGAAGCTGAAGAACAAGATTGTTGAACTGGAAACCACTGCCGACCAGGAGGAAGATGAGGACGAGGATTTCCCCCTCAGCCCCGCAGGCGCAAGCTTCTTCGCCTTCTTCGGCTACCGGGGTAACGATGTGACTGCAGAGGAGTCGAAGGCCGCTACTAAGCAAGCTGACGAGCGCTTTGCTCAGTTGTCGAAAGGAGAGACAGTTGAGGAAGAGGAGGAAGAGGAGGACGAAGAATTCGAAGATATCGAGGTCTTCCCAGACGGAGAGCAGCTTGCTATCGCCATTGCCGACGATTTGTGGCCCCATGCTCTCGAACTATTCAGTATGTTGTTCCCATAAAATCTTTGGAATAGATAGTCTAACGGTGTCAAGATCGTGATGAGGGGATGGATATCGAGGAGCTCGAGGGTGATCTTGAAGACGAAGACGAAGATGAGGAAGATGAAGACGACGAGGAAGACACACGCCCCAAGAAGAAGACCAAGGTGTAAGCCTGTGAAATCTTCTTTTTGACCGACCGATTCGCACGAGGATTTGTATTTTGAACTTCTTTGCTTGGTTTCTTACAGGGCGATGAGCAGGATTAATAATAGGACAAGCACGAAAATGAGAACGGCAATGCAAAACGAGGACATTGTATCTATGTAATATTCAGTTAGCCTTGATATCAAAAGCAAATAATAACAGGACGGAGGGGGCGACGAGACGGTGAAGTCATACTTACCTTCGTTCTTTCTCACGATATACTTAATCTTTGACATTCCACTTTGTAACTTGCCCCCTACTCGGTCGGCTAATGTATCAACCTCTCCTATCATGACCGCTTGCTCCTCTAGTTCCCTCCCCATATCGTCGGCCTGTTGCCGCAAGTTGCCAACAGTGCGAAAGACGCCATCTAACTGTTCGTCTTGCTCGTGCATCAGTTCCGTCTGCCGTTGCTGTTCGAGAGCGGCATAGTAGTCATCCCCTCTATCATCCGCCGACGGGGACAGGACATTATCAAAGTCTGATGGATTAGGTAGTCCCGAAGACAAATTGCCAGTAGCACTGCCAGTTGCCGCAGAACTAGTCACGGCTTTTTGCAATTCCTCTCTCATTTGCTCAATCTCTCCACCCACATCTTCCACCAACTTTCGCCGGCGCTGAACTTCTTCTAACTCTAAGCCATACCGGTATGGATCTTGTTCGATTGCACGGACACTCTCAACAAGATCATCCAAATCCGTAGTGAGTTCGGTCAGCGTCGTTTCCAGCTCCGACCGTGCTTGCTGAAGCTCGGGGTTGGACGGGGATTTGGCGAGAGACCTGATGCGTAGATATGACGAGAAGAGAGGTCTCGTCGTTTGCAGCGTCGCAAGGACGTCTCTGTGCAGGGTTAGCTGGTCGTGCTACTTGGCCAAAGGGGGAAAGACTAGGGAAACGGACGCTTGAACATGGAGGAATGGATCGGCGTGATCCATGGTTATAATATCACAGTACTATTGCTATGAAAAGATCATTTCAAGCACTAGTGATCGAACGGTATTTCTTGTAGCCTCGAAGAACCGGGAGCCTGTGAGTGATGACCTTGTTCTGGACTTCGAGGACATTCTAGGTAGATGCTAGGCGGTGGTAGAAGCGGTAAGCCGGGGCGGTGCTATGGGAAGGCGGTGGGGTCTATCTAAACCCTTGCGTTACAGCTCTGAATGACCATCACTTCATTAACTCTCGGTTCATATATTTTTCAATCTGGTATAGGAAACTGATTCTCGCTCATCTAGTCATTATAAAACAATATTGAAATAGCCCATTGTACAAACTTGGTGAAGGCCAACGTTTCTTTGAGTCCACATGTCTTTCAAATACTTCTCCGCAGCGCGGTTGTATTGTCGGCCTCGATCATCAATCAATGCTGGTTTCACACTCCAGCTTTTCACTTGTCGCTTGCAGTCACAGGTCCGGCAGCCCAACTCTGGGACATTCTTCCAAGCTTTCCAGTAATCATCCAGTGGGTCTGAGAAATGACATTTTCTTACACTGGAATCAGAAGCTTTCTCCTCCAGACCACAGCATTCGTCCTGAGGGCTTAGGAGAAGCTTTGCTAGGGATCGTGGCGATTGCTTCAGCAGAAACCACGAGGTCACGCTGTATTCGTTTCTCGCATCCCGATGCCAGTCTCTGGGACCGTGTCGGAGAAGCATCCTTTCCGTAAGCTCCCGCAGCATTCGGAGTGTGGTGTGGAAATCAATCTCTGTCTGCTCATCAAGGTAGCCTCTGAATTTGAGTCGTCTCCTGCCGATGTCTACTTCTCTATAGCCCCACTTTAAGACTGTATAAGCGTGGCTGGCATACTCTTGAAAGGACGTCAGACGACGCTTGTTTCGCGGGATCTCGTGGTACTCTTCTAGCATCCTAGTAAGCACCAATAGGCGGCCGGTAACGTCCGGAATCAGAGGGTTTATCTTTTGTTTTGTTTTGTATGTGTCGCGGGCAATATCAGCCATGTGGAAAAGCACGTACAGCCCTCGCTCTAGTCGCTGAACGAGCTGGTGCTCTGCCTGATAATTCATTTTTGGGCTTTCCTCGTCTGAGAAGGGGCCCCATACTGAGGGGACAATCTGGCACGCCAGCTTGTGTGCAATGACCTGGCGCTCAAGAAAACCCGACAGATTGTGTACCGTCAGTGTCCTCTGTTCACCCGTCCGTGGGTTCAAAGTGAGCACAGGGTCAAATGTGCTGATGCCATGGCAGCGCATTAACCATCGGCAAATGTGTGGTTCAAGCAATTTGATAGCTTCATAGGTTGCCTTGTTTACCAAGCAGAGGGTCAATACTGCACTAATATCTCCATTGATAATGATCTGAAAAAGCACATCGGGAATGGAGCCTAAGGGCCTTTGTTTCTGCTTCGTCTTCGAAATTATCAACTAGGTGGATATAAGGTGGATCAGTAAGTACTTGGGAATCTCTATGGTAAACTACAGAACAACACAATCTAAGCCATCATGTTTACTCACCATAATTCTGTAAATGCTCCGTGCTCTAGCTGAGTTCGCTTGACAATTTCAGATATCGACCATTAACTTACGCCGAGGAATCAAATGCTTATATTTTCTTAACAGCAAGGGGAATATAATTGCCGCATAGAGATACTTAAGCTCTCGACGGTGTGACGCGTTGACAGAGAATCATCTGCGTGCCTGTTGTAATTTCGCAGATCGCGAGGCTGAGCCTGCAGGATGCAGGAGACAATAAATGAATAGAGAGGAGTATATCATACGTGGTGGCACCCCTTGCCTGGGTTGGGATATCTCCTTTCTTCAGTGAGCGCAGAACGGTCACGTTTATGAGATGGCAGAGCGAAATAACCTATCGCGAGCCTTCCTAGCTGCCAACACAGTTTTGTTCACTTCCTATATATGCTAAAATCCGAAACCGGTCGGGCAACTCCATTCTTAGTCCCGAGTGATTTGATGTTAGTGGTTGTTTAATATAGGATAGCAGCGCACCAGCGTTGACCTAAAAGTAAAGATCAGCAGGTCTCATGTGCCACTATCGCCAATAGTCTGGCTTCCAGTGCTGTCACTGTGGGCTTCGTCATTATGCACCAGAATCCAACCAAGCAAGTGATCGGGTTTTCAGGGGAGTTCAGGAGCCCACCGTGGTGTCAGGAGGATTCCCGATGGTGTCGAGTTGGGTGAGAACTCAGAAACGACCTCCACTCCTGCTCTCCATACCCCATACTCTGGATTCCGCAGATCCGCGGTGGTGGAGCTCGCAACGGGCCTAAACCAAATTCGTCCCCCTTTTTACCCCTCTACCAAAAGAAAAAAAAAAATTCTGGAATTATTCTGTGATCTTCGCCGCCCTCAACATTCCTTGTGACTTCCTCGACTTTCTTTTTATAGACCGTTTCTCATTCGTTATACCCTCTTTAGTGCTTTCGGGTTGCGCTATTTTTCACTTGTTCCCTGTTTTCCTTTTCGGGTTCGGTGACGGTCGAACGAACGCATGCCACGACCTAAAACTCTTCCACTCACTGAAGAGTGGACTGATCCCGATGCCTACGTCGACGCCCTCCTGTCCTTTGCTACCTCATCCGACATCTTCCGCCACCTTTGCGGCGGCGTGCATATCTTAGACTTTCTGACGCGCGAACCGGATCTCTATACGTCGCTTCTTCCGGAGCATTGGCGAGCGTTCTTTGAACACCATGATATTCAGGATCTTCTCGACTTGTTCCTGTGGGAAGATCTCCGGCCGCTCTTAGATCAGAGCAGGGACCTAGCGGCAGATGGAGGCAATCCGAGTGCACGACAGGAATGGAGGGGAGCTCCCTTACCTCCGACAGATCTCTTAGAGTACCTCCAGCAGATCCGACGTCTTAGTTTGGGTAGAGATTTCCGGCCCCCACAACCTGGGAAACCAACGATACCGAAACACATTGCAGTGGGAATGAATGTCAAGAAGTACCATGAGGTAGCACACTTTTCGAGATATGTCGATTCCCTGTGCGCAACAGTGGACGAGCAGCGGGGTGAGAACATAACCCACGTTGTGGATTTTGGGTCGGGTCAAAGCTATCTTGGACGGACGCTTGCTAGTCCTCCGTATAATCGGCACATTGTTGCTATTGAAAGAAAACATCAATTCATCAATGGAGCGAAGGGTTTTGATATATTTGCGAAACTAAAGGAGAAGAAAGAGATTAGACTATATAATAAGAAGGCCGCCTGTAAAGATTGCGAGGAACCAGAGAGACCTGGGCCGATAAACGAGAATACTTCCGCCCGCGAGTCCGAAGGAACGGAGGCTGTAACAACGGATGACAGCGCAAAGCAAGACGTGGACGAGGAGGACGTTGCGATGATAAATGTCTTCCGTGACATCAGTATCGCGCCCGATGAGATTGGCTCGGCTCCGCATAAGAACGATCCTAAGAAGAAAGCAATGGCCTTGGCGGCTAAGAAACAGGAGTCCAACCAGCCGAGAGGTACGATGGATTATATTGAACACGATATTAAGAATGGGTATCTGGAGCCTATCATAAAGGATGTGATTGAGCCGCCGCCTGTTGCGCCCACCGAAAGCTCAATGAACGCCGAGCAGGAAAGCAATGGGAGACCGAATGATGCCCAAGTAATGGTTATTTCCTTACATTCCTGCGGAAATCTTCTTCATCATGGCGTTCAATCTCTGGTTCTAAACCCGTCCGTGAAAGCCATTGCCATGATTGGTTGCTGCTATAACCTGGTGACCGAACGACTCGGCCCTGCTACATACAAACTTCCTATTCTTCGAACCACACACCCTCGCCTGACCAAGGATGCCATCGCGTATGATCCCCATGGCTTTCCAATGTCGAAACGTCTGGAAGACTATGAGCATGACAGCGGAAGAGGCGTGAAGCTGAACATTACGGCAAGGTCGATGTCCCTTCAGGCACCCTACAACTGGGGCAGGGAGGACAGCGAGAACTTCTTCACCCGGCACTTCTATCGGTCTCTCCTCCAGAGAGTCTTGGTAGACCGTGGGGTTGTGGCGAAGCCTTCCATCCCGAAAGAATTGTACGGCGCTGAGTCTCTGGACTCCAGTGAAGCGGGAAATCCTCTCATTGTCGGCTCCTTGCGAAAGTCCGCTTTCGCTTCCTTTCCTGCATATGCTCGCGCTGCCGTGGTGAAGCTCAGCCGGGATGCTCATAACGGCGAGAAGGTGAAAGCAGGCATGGCCGATATTACCGAGGAGGAGCTAAATGACTACGCGGAAAAGTACCGACACACGAAAAAGTACCTCAGCATCGTTTGGAGCTTAATGGCCTATAGTTGCTCTCTGGTCGAGGCCATTATCGTGGTTGACCGGTGGCAATTCCTGCGTGAACATGACAGTGTGAAGGACTGTTGGGTTGAGCCCGTGTTCGATTATAGCGAGAGTCCAAGGAATCTGGCCGTCATCGGTATTAAAAAGTGAGATTGGTGGATCTTTGTCGATAAATTTTCCTGGTTACGCATTTGTTTCTCGTACGTTTCAACCCCTATCTGGCTATGCTTATTACTTTAAGTCACTGGGACGAAGCAGCTTTATCATTTATTTATCTCCATCTCACTGGTATCTCGTTGCAGCTATCCTATCCCCTCCTTCAACACTCTTTTTTCCCTCTCTCCCATCTTCACATCTCACTGCACATAAGACTTCCACATCATCACTAATCGTGTCATCAGACAACTGGCTTGAATTGAACACAGATACACCAAAGAGATCTAGCGAGAGAAGAAGGCCAGAATGCTGCCTGAAAGCGAATCAGATAACGATCAGATACAACTCAACTATTTGAACCTAGCGGGGTTAGGCATAACTTGCCTCATTAACCTAACCTAGCCATTCGACACTCTACTAGGAATATCAAGGATGGAGCGAAGGGGAACAAACCGAAAGGTGGCGCAACAAGAAATCCGTGATTAAAAAGAAAAAGCTAGAAAACATCAATCCAGAGGACCTTGACAAATATCTGGTCACAGATAGCGATAGCTATAGTGATGTTGACGGTGAAAGGTCAGGAGCGGGTATGCACTTAGATTCTGAGATAGAACATGAGTAGAACGCGTCTTTAGAGTCCTCAATATCAGACTATCTACGATTACACTATCTTATTGTGATTTCCGGCAATCGTAGGCTTCATATTAGGCCGAGTAATGTCTCCCAAAGAGTTTTGTGCTTAGGGAGGGGTACGCTCCTTTTTAGTAATTGATAGCGGACGAGCTTTCGAATGTGTAGATTACTTATGGAGTTGTGGACGGTCTATACAAAGTAGTAGTTAATAAGAGTACTCCGTACCCCGTATTAATAACCTCAGGCAGGATACAGTCGGCTAGACCGACCTATTGTGCAGTACTAAGAATGTAACAGTATCTGCACGTTTTGTAGTTGCCTTCTGGTTCCGCTCGGGTTCCGCGGAATCCGGAACGGTATTTGACTTCCCCAGCAGACCCCTCGGTCATGACCTTTTTCCAAGCAGTCCCAGTATTACTCGTATACAATTAGTATCCTTCTTCGGTTACATCCGACTAATTGACGCCCAAAAATGGAGCCCGAGGGCCCCGAGAGTGATAGCAGGGAGTCTCTTCCCATTCGGCGTGCAGTGAGTGTTTGACCGCTTGCATAGTACTTCCTACCTAGCATAATCAGACTAACAGTCCAGTGTGACCAATGCCGTCTTAGAAAGGTATACTGCGTTGGCAAATGGTAGAAGTCTATAGGCTTAGAGCCGAACTAATGGATCATGCCGGTTAGATACGATGTGACAAACGGTCGCCCTGCTCTAATTGCCGTAGTTCGCAGATTGTCTGTCGCACTACAGGCGCAGGTCAAAAGCCTCGCGAGCCACGGAGACGAGTCCTAATCTCCGATCAATAGTAGGCCTGTCGAACGCAGTCAAAAGTGGAACCGTTCTGACTTCCCCAGTGAAAAGAAAATTGATTTAATCGAAGATCGCCTGTCCAGCATCGAACAAGTCCTTCGTGACGTGAAGGCTACTATTACGTCCAGTACTCCTGCCGAGACCTGCTTCCATGCAACTCCAGATTCAAGACAGATGACTCCGTCTGCTTCTGGACTTGCGTCGGACATCAACGCCACACTAGACCAACACGAATCTGGCCCTGCGTTCGAGGGTAATTCATCTCTTGCAGCCCATTCGGCTTATGCGAGTCAGTTTCTGGAGACAGCAGTCTCGCGCAGCGCGCTGCAACTATCCAGTCCAACGATCAACACTGCCCTTTCAACGCTCAAGCAGCTTGTCACCATGCAGGACCATCAGGCTCATCCTTCCTCACGCGATGTTCGCTTCCCCAACCAAAAAGCTATACCGAGATCAGGACTGCGGAATCTGAACATGCCTCCTGTACAGGTTGTCTTGCCGCTGTTACGTCGTATCAAAGGTACCATAGGCCATGTCCTCCCATAGCTAGTGGTGAATTCTAACTAGTTATCGACAGAGGAATCTGCAACTATCTTGCTAGGGTTTTTCCCTTTTATAACAGAAGACAGTCTTATTGAGAAGTGTCGCCAGGTGTACTTTGCCACCGAGGAATACTCCGACGCTACATTTATCGTGGTGAATGCATGCTTGGTGTACCTCTTTAGTGAATTTAGCTTTTCAGAAAGTGATTCCACAAAGCGAGAAATTTATGACAAATATCACAACCTTTGTCGGGTTAACCTGGAGACAGGTCTAGCGAACCTGAGTCTTTTGACGCCTGCAACGATGGAGTCAATAGAAGCGCTTAGCATGGGTGTAAGTTTGTGCTCGACAGGTGCTCTGCTGGAGATACTGATCATCTAGGCTATTCACGCAATTGAAATTTCGAAGCCCTCCTTAGGTTTGGCGTTGACATCAACCGCATTCCGGCTGTGCCAGACGCTCGGTTATCACCGAGCTTCATCAATGGAGAATGACAGCTTTGCCGTTAAGCAAAATAAGCGCCGTCTATTTTGGTCAGTTTATGTCACAGAGAAAGCCCTTTCGCTGCGGCTCGGCCGCGCCTCATCCATACAGGATTATGACATTTCATTACCTTCATCATGTGAACTTCTTGGAGATTTTGAGCCGTGGAGAACTATCTATCCGCTGTGGATTAATCTGGCCAGAATCCAGGGTAAAGTGTATGAGATGCTCTACAGCCCTGCTGCCCTGCGTAAACCTGCAAACGAAAGGGCATCATATGCCCGTCAGTTGGCAGCAGAGATGAAAATGAACGTTGAAGAGCCATTTAAGGTATGTTCTCCCAAGTGGACTATGCTGTTACATTGTATTCGCACAAGGCTGAGACTAGACAGAAGGCTAGCCCCAAATTCTCTAATATCTCTGCGCTTGACGAGATTTATCTCAAGTCGGATGAAGTCTGCCGCCTGTCCGTGTTGACCCTAATATACAGAGCTATCCCTGCGGCTGAGGATAGTCGCAGCACATTCATAGACGAATGCATCGAGACAGCACGAGTGACACTGGAACTACATCAAAGTTGCATGACGATGATGGAGGAAGGTAATCGAAGTAATGAAGTCAAGTGCTCGTACTTACACTGGTACGGTTTGGACAAATCATTTTTATTTTGAGGGTTTTACGGATAGCTGATTATATATCCAGGACGATAATGTACTCGCCGTTCGTGCCATTTATCGTGCTGTTTTGCCATGTGATTGAATCAACGTCCTATTCAGACCTGATACGACTGGAGGATTTTGTCAATTCGCTCCAGCCCAACTGTTCGTTGTCGGAGGCGATTGCGAAAATGCACCGGCTCTGCCAGGTCCTCAGCAACGTTGCGAGACTATATGTCGAGGCAAAGGCGCAGGCTCAGACGCAAGAGAACGAAGACCTGGCGTCCGTAGGCCAAGAATTCGATGTTTATCTTAGTGCTCTTGGCTTGGCGCCTACACAGCCTGAAGCCGGTGATATTCGATGGAATGGTCCTGTTCCCGTGCCGGGACCTATCCCTCAAGGCTTGGGCGAAGGAGCTGAAGGACAAGCATTCCAGAACACTATGCCCCCGACTACATTGGGCAGCTGGTTCTCGGGAAATCAACATATGTTGGGGCTTTTAGAGGAGGATCTATCACTGTTTGACCCTTCTGCATGGCCTTGAAATTGTATATGTGCCGTATTTTGGCGCCGATGTATGCTCTAACATTGACACAGCATGTAGCACCTCCCGACGTCCGTGCTTGTTACACTTTTCAACATGTATACCACAGGGTTGAGTGCCCAGGAATAACTATTCACTGAGATACCAACAGAGGACGGGGGTTCTAACTAGATACACTTCCCTCCATCGACAATCATCTCTGCTCCGTTTATGAAACTACCCTCATCGCTAGCCAAGTATAGACACATGTTTGCAACATCATCGGGGTCTGTCAATCGGCCCAGCGGCACATTTCCGATGAACTTCTCCCGGTTTTCAGGCGTATCAGGCATACCGGTGAACATGGAAAACAGGCCTGTTCCTGATAGAAGGGGGCTAACGGTATTGACGCGGATATTGTGAGGACCATACTCAGCTGCGAGACCTTTCGTAGCCTGTTCGAGTTAACCAACAGCCAGGCTTGCGCAAAAGCCAGCGGGGCCAAAGAACTGGAGATCCTACATTCGAAACCGCCCCCTTCGAGGCATTGTACCAGACCAACCCTGGCCGTGGCCGCGATGCACCAGTAGACGAAATATTGATCATCGAACCGCCCTGACCCTGTTGCATTAAGCGGGTCACCAAGGCCTTCGAGCCCAGGAAGATTCCTTTAACATTCACGTTGAAGACACGCTCCCATTCTTCTTCGGTGACTTCGGCCGTTGGCTACTGCGAATCAGCAAACGAGTCTCAGCCATTATTTTAGTCTTGATCCATATACCTTGTTCCGATACGTTATCCCGGCATTGTTCACCAGGATATCCAATCTTCCGAATCTTGAAAACGCCAAATCCATGACGGTCGTCCAATCCTCTGCCTTGGTGACATCCATCTGTTGAAAGACCAGACTTTCCGGATTCTGAGCAGCGACTTTTTGTCCTCCCTCAGCATTGATATCGGTAATAATCACCTTAGCCCCCTCCTCGCCGAATCGACGGGCAATCGCCGCACCAAAGCCCGAACCACCACCTAGATCATCATTAGCGATACGCATCCCATGCCACGAATTATAGGATAGGAACATACCAGTAACAATAGCCACCTTGCCCTGCAGGCGAGCACCGGGAGTCAACTGCCTCGTCATGTTTATTATAGTATATGATATGCCTGGAGAGGATGAAAAAAAAAAAAAAAAATTAATGATCTTAATTGACAATAGTAAGATACACGAGAAGATATACTGGTCGCAACGCAGAGTTATCCGAGGGCCAAGAGGGGAGAAATGCGGAGGTGCGGTACGAATGCCGAACGCTTGCATCGCACCCATTGGACGACTCTCCGCTTCCTCTCCGCATAGTACTCTTTACCCCGGACTGGAGGAGTATGTATGATGTGTAGAATAGTCCATTTCCCCGCATTAATATATGCTGCGGTATCCGACGCATGTTCGGTATTCGTCCGCACACCAATAATCATCCCAGGTGAGGCAAAAACCAACATTCCACGGCGTCAAGTTGATATCCAGGTGCCATGTCATTGTATACTTACACCTGATAATCCTTTTATTCAAAAGAAATATCAGAACACGATATCCCTCGTAGTAAAACCATACAACATGCGACCACCCCACTAGAGAGTTCAAGTCGCCATCTCGGGCCTTGTCCGAGTTCGATATTCGACGTTGTGTTGCCGTGCATTATCCATCATTGTCAAGCACTGAGACAGCAAAATGACCCAATAAACCAGGATCGAAGTTGTGGTTAAAGAGAATGTCTCTGAGTATTTCCCAGGGTTGAACTGGGTGAAGGCCCTTTGTCGTGAAATAATGTTAACACAAGGAATATGAGTTAGGGCTAAGTACTCTCTACTCTCTGCTCTCTGCTTCACAATGTGTGCATGCGTGTTTAGGTAGCTTGGCAACTCCACCCCTGCTCACTAAGAAAAATTCAGGAGTATCTGCATGATTCCAGATAGTCACCCTCCCTCACTGAGTGAGAAAGAAAGGAAAGAGAGAGGCGAGAGCGGCGAGAGAGAAGAAGAGGTAGAGAAGAAAAGCAACCCCCCAAGCCCATTATGAAGACAGTGCGCTTAGCGCCACCGTAGACGCAAATGGGGTATGGTTAATTAACATTACCTCTAGGGCCTATCACCACTTACCAGACCTTTGTTCAATTGACAGGCACAACACCCTGGTGGCGCAGGGACTTGGAAAATTACGAAGTAAATCTATCCACGACAGCATACAGTCTGTAGATCGAAGGACCATTATGTGGACCTATTGACTAGTCTACATAGGTCGATGTCGAGCACGCCATCAATGACGATCACCGAGATCCCAACTTAGATTAGATCAGTAGTAGATAAAACCCAATTCGAGTCGTAGAGATTGTCCTTCTATCTACAGACTACTACTGCTAGTACGCACGCACACATACAAACACAACGAACACGGCCAAACACGAGGGGGGGAAGGAAGGAACTATCGAAACCAGAAGTAAACCAAAAGTGAATCCAAAGTACTAAAGCCTAGAGCCGAGCCAATCAAGCATATCCTAAACTGGTTAACACCACGAGAATCCTCCAATGCTACCTTCTTTTTCTCTCTTTCTTTCTTTTCTTTTTTTTTAAGTTTTTAGGCTACGTACTCCTCTTTCCGGCCCCCAAGAGACTAAATTAGACTCAAGACAGACAAATTTCATGGCAGGGATCGTAATTAAACTAACCACGGGAGTTTGGCACGGCTGTTATGATGGGAATTTAAGGTTCTTCAGGTATTTTACATTGCGGATTTGAGTTTGGCGGTTTGGTTTGGCGGGATTCTTCTTTTGTCTTTTCGGTTTTGGGAGGGGAATTCCATTCTTGGGAACAACTGGTTGTTTTTCCTTTATGGGGAGTTTTATGCTGTGGGTGTTCGGATCTATTTTCCATCTGCTTTGTGAGAGTGTTTTTTTTTTTTGTTTCTTATTGGGGAAAGACGAATACGATCAATTGTTGGTTGGTGGTGGTGGGATTGTATTAGCGGTCGCTTGTAGTAGGGCTACTTTCTCATACACCTCCAAAAACACCAAACAACATCAATGGGTATCCAAGATCATTAAATTAAGGAGATATAGTACATATACCAAATCATTATAGTAAACATCGTAAAGGGCCCACGAAGACCCGGCCATCGAATCTCTAACAAAAGTAGCCAACCCAGATACGCCCAATACGCTCACAACTTTTTCATCCTCATAATCCAGACAAGGGAAAGCCCTCACTCCCGCCTCGACACGGAAGTCTCAACATCGACCGTCTTGAAGATGGCGAGCGATCCACCGGGGTTCGCTCCTCCATAGTAATTCCGATCTCCGTGCACGGTGGTTTCAACCTTCGGCTCGCTTTGAGCATTATGCATCAGAACGTCCTGGTCGGAGGTCGTCGTCTCCAGATAGCTCATGCGGCTGCGGCTTTTGTCGGTCTTCATGCTGCGGCTTTGGTTTTTCATCTTGCTGAGCTCGTGGCCCGAGGTCCCGCCGGTGGCCTTGTTGCTGTTGGAGTATTCGTGGTAGACGCGGGAGAGGATCGCAGAAAGGGCAGGGAGACAGGCGCAGATGACGCCGATGGCGATTTCGGCATTTCTGGGTGGTCGAGATTCGTTAGTGTCAGGATATGCGGGTTTGGGAGAGATGGGTGCCTACCCGAACATGTTGATCCGCATGAACGCCATGGTGCCATCCTTCGACTGACCCGTGTAAACGATCAATATGAGTCGGATGATACTCGATGCAACGGCGAGACCCCCTGCGCCGAGAATACCCATGACTCGCATCTTCTTCTTCGTTGGGAGTTGCAGACCCAGGGTTAACGGGAGCGGAACAAGGAGGATGATCAGGTCGCTGACCACGCTGACGACTGCGTCGGCCATGATGATGGCACGCTGATCGAGGCATGAGCCCGGAATCTCTGGTGACCAGAATTTGGAGATCGGGTCGCAGATTCGGATCTTGACGATCACGGCGGGAATGTAGTACGCCAGCATGATGCCAAGGAAGATGTAGATGAAGGTCACGGCTTTGCGGAATGGGCTGAACACTCGGGTCATGATCCATAGGAGCGAGACTTTGGTCAGGTATGCGGTTGGTCCGTACATGACCATGGTAACGTAGACGGTCTGGATAGGTCAGGAGGTGTAGTATTTCAGGGAGGGTTGTGAATTACTTTTTGGAAGATAATCTGGTCCGCGGGGGATACATCGTCGATGTGTAGACCCCCTCCATGTGCGCCCACTGCCGGCGGTTAGACGGCCACAAATCTGAATGACGGACTACTTACTGATGAGCGCAATGACGGAGTAGCAGACTCCTAGGAGCTGTTGTCACGCATGACTTTAGCACAGATGATGAGCTATAGAGAGTGAAGGACTTACCCAAGCACCTAAGCAGGTCCCTGTGTTGAGTTAGCATGCAAATCACTCTCCTGTCAAGGATATTTCTTACAGTCTTCTTTGTTAAAGCCATTGAGGAGGAAGACCCGGGTGTATGCACGCAATAGGAAGAACAGGGTCATTGCAGCGATGCATAGTGACTGAGTGGCTGTGTTCCATTTTTGCACTGTCCTGTCAATAGATGTGGCATCGTCTCGTTCAAAGAGCTGTCCAAGAGCCATCTTGGGTGACGGGCACCATGGATCGCTTTCTGCAGTGAGTGCAACTGACCAGACAGGGTTTAAGCCTGAGATTAAGCCAGGGTATTAAAGAAATAGGAGCTAGGGTCCTAGTACGAGAGGGGACAGGAGAGCACTCCGTAAACGCTTGGACAGATCAAATCTACATTGAACTGAAGATATGTATTAAACCGTATTGCCTACGATTAGGGACCCCAGCCTATGATTTGCCCCTGAAGGAAAGGGCTCGAAGAGAGGAACTAGTGCACCTAATAGTGTCAAGAGACCGTCGCAGTTTTCAGACTGAAAAAGCAAAAGTGATGGCCGTTAAAATGACATGGCAATTGCCACACAGGGTGGTATGGATCGACTGATGCTTTGCATGATCTCGCTGTATGATTGGCACGAGAAGATGCGGCCAAGGAATGCAGATCCAATCCAGAATAGAATTTTCGTAACGAACCCTCCATAGATTTCAGTACCATAGGGCCGACCTGGTGGACTTGAGCGTCCTGACTGCCGGTCGTTGTTTTTATCAGTCAGCGTATCCAAGTCTAAGAGGAGGTCGAACCTGGCATCGAGAGGGCCAAGACTGCATGGCAGAGAACTGTTACGTAGCTTGCCAGCTTTTCCCAGAGCCAAATGAACGAATCGGGGGTGGGGGTGGTGAAAGGCAGAGGCGGGACTGTGAGCGAATATTGAAGATGGATCACGACGCCGGTCGGAACTTTCTCGGGGCCCGTGTCGCAAGCGTCAGGAGTCAATTGTTACCTAAAACGCTCCATTCACTACCGGCGTTTAGGTTCTTTGGAACCGTAGCGGAATCCACTTCCCGCCCGAAGTGGAGGCGCTAATCGGCTGTGACCCTTCACAACTAAGCCCTACCCAGTAATGATATGTCGAGGGGGCCCTACCAAATGGATTCTCCCTGAGGGACGGGCGAAGGATTCTGGTCTTGTCCCGAGCGACTTGGTCACAGTCCCGATTAACCGACGCTCGTTGTCTTAGCAGCATGGGACAAGCATGGGAATGACATGACAGTCCGAGATTAATTTTCGGGAAATCTCCGTCTGCAGCTCGACCATCTGATACCCTGCCCAGCCGCATTAGTCAGAGTAACCCGGAGCTTGAAGTGACTCGACCTGTCTGGTTTCAGCAAAATTAACGCCCCTGACATCCTTCACTACAGGTGTGGGGTGGGGTGGATGTGCTTCCGGTAACCATGGGGAGGCTGCACTCTCAATTGTCTGGCGTCAACGCATCTGACAAATATTCTCGTGAAGGATACTATACTAGGTAGGACTTGGGCCAGTGGGAAAGCACTACGAGAAAGATGTAGCAAGGCTATTATTGATTTCCCTGTTCCCGCGGACCGTTGAACATTGGTGATTTCCCTCTATTCTGTTCCTTTTCGTTATTGGTCGTCGTGGCTATACTACGTGCTATTAATTCTCCGTACGAAGATGCGCTAGAAATGCACGATCCAGGATGGTTGCAGATGGTACTTTTGCGGCACCTCGACCCGATCTCAGCAGAGGTGATGCATCTAGAAGATAGCCATGATGTTCGGTGGCGACGACACGCCACCGGGCATGTTCAACGGGACCGATGCCACAAAGAAGCTCCAGCGTTGGAGATCCTGGCAGGTGCGTGCCAATGCTTCAAGGTCAAAGAGCTCGCCTGTCACATGAATTAGAGTAGATCCATAAACGGCCTCGCCGAGCCGCTCAGATTTTGAACTTACCGATTGGCATTCCCCATCCTGCGAGTACATACTCATGCAGGAACACATCAGACTGGGGCGGGTAGACCTGTCACAACGTTATTAGTGCCAACGGTCTCCAAACATGGGCCCTGCAAGAACTTTCGTACCTCCCAGCTAATAGTGTCGCTGGCAATCGCTGCAAATCCCGAGTCCCAAAGCCACCGGAGCATATCTGTGGTGGCTTCGACTCCAGCATGTTCCGGGCTCGGGTTGTTAGAGTATTGCTTCTTTTGCTCATCCGTCATCACGGTGTCCCATTCCCGGGTTACTCCAACCCGAACAAACAGGATATCGCCCTTCTGGAAAGTGATGTTGCATTCCTTCGCAATTTCCAGGATGTCTGATAGTCGCACCTGATGAGTGGAAAAGGTGCTGTACGTGATTCCCTTCCTCTCAGCCCATGCGGCGTAGTCAATCAAGACCCCGCGACCTATGACCACGGAATGAGATTCATACTCTCGGAGAGATACAGGAGAGGTCACCAAGGATAAATGGGAAGATCCATACCTGCAATACCTTCCCGCGCCCAGTGTTGCATACCAATCCGATCGTTGCTACGGTCATTGATCTCCTCGGCTGTCACACCGCCGTAGAACACACGCTCGGTCTGGCCAGGGACAGTTTGAGAGAAGTGTCGCAGTCCATCCCACTGACTACTTTGTTCTGGATGCTCGATCTATTAGATGTGACCGATACCACGCTTCAGGTACATGGGAAACCCACGAGGATTCATTGTGTAGATATCATCATAGGCCACTCCGCCCAGAAGGGGGACAATCTTGTGCTGACATGGCTGACGGTTTAGGTTAGGATAGTTCAACTTTGTTAAATCCCATCCCATCGTAACTCTCCGACCAGTCTTGATTTCCGTCGAAGCGGCTTTAGCCACCACTTCGGGGGTCAGGATGGCTAGCTTCCCAAGCCCTTCTTCATAACTACCAGGCTTTCCCACCCACACTTGTTTGGGGTTGGGAAGTTCGTCGAAAGGGACATCGAAGGGGGAAATGCTGCCCATGATTTTAACGGCGATCCAGTCTACTTGGAAAGGGGAGATCAGATGCACGCGGCAAGGTATATTTCAAAACACGCAAGAAAATAATAAGAATAGCGTGAAAAGTCGGTTTTACATGTAGCCGGTCAGCTGTTATGCGGTAGGGTTGTCAAGATTTAAATTTGCTGCAAGCTTTCCTAAGCTTAACGCGTGCATCCGACACCCACCTGTCCACCAAACCATTGAGTCTAAAGACTTTGGAGGGGCGCAAACATCGTGGTGGGACGGCGCCGTCTGAGGGGTAGCAGGCTACAGCTTCGAGTAAAACACTCGGGGCCACAGACCCAGCTAACGGTATGGCACAAGACGGCCGACGGACTTTGCAACGTGCAGGCATCAAGTGGAGCAAATGGGCCTTGGAACGTGTGTGAGTTCGTTAAAGGGAGCACAGACGCGCACTGAATTTCGTAGAAGGAAATGATAATCCAGCGTCTGGGCAGGATTTGCCAATAGGGCGAGTGGATTTAAACCTGGTCATACCAAGTTTTAAGGGCAACCAAACCGTATGGGATTTGCGTAGGCGTGCATCTGAATGGGCGAATCGCGAGGCAAGGGATCATGCCAATCGCTGCGGCAATCAGCAACTGGCCTCCTTCCGTATCAATTGGTCGGAACTAGTAGTAGTACTCGATAGGTCCAGGCTGTGTAGGACATTTGACTAGGTAAATAATCGTTTTTCGAGTCGTTTGCCCAATTGGACTGATGGCATGGGTGCCGACGGTCCGAAGAAATCGTCCCATAATTGTAGTCATAGAATGGGTGATGATGGGGAAGGTGGAGGAGATTTCAGAAACAAGAATGAATTAATTATTTGGGAAACGAAACAAAAAAGTCACGGGCGATGGGCTTCCCCAACACAGTTTAGTGGCTTTCTGCCGCTGACGCCTCGAATCCTGACAACCACTTGACTATCAACAGACACGAGGCGACGAGGAAAATGTCCCACACACCATGTCAGGGTTTAGTGCCGGACTCGCTATGCAGTTAATACCTAATCCAGAAATTGTACCTCTCGGGGTCGCGATTTTGACAGAGGTGGACCCGAAACATTCTCCACGGTCCACCCTCGCCAATGTACACCATGCCATGCGCCTTGCTAGTACTGATAGCGGCCTTGCAGCTTTCCGCCGGAGTACTAGGTTTTGGAGACTAATGCAATAAAGGAGTGGGTGCTTGCAAAAGCTGTTCTCCGATCGTTATATTGGCTACTGAGTGGTTGTCGAAAATTTCAGTCTCGAAGCTGGTGTGTTGATCCTCTGCGAGGCTAGTTCACAGTAGCTCGCAGCTCTTTCTCGACAAGATTTCTTCTTCCCCCTTGGAGCTCCTCGAGGGACGCCAAAATTTGTCCGTACGGGGTCAGTCAAGTGAACAGTCTCTGGCCATTTGAATTGACCTGTCAATTCTGTGTCGCATTTGTTCTGTCATATTTGTTCTGCTCCTTGAAACACTTCGAACTCGGCCCAGTGCAAATCCCTGCAAGGGAGAAACGACCTGTCCATCATGGGTACGTTCGGGTCCCAGACCAGCACTTATAACAAACTGGTCGCTATTTTCGTCGCTGTCGGTTCAATGGTAAGCGTTACCTCACTGGATTCCTGCCTGGTAATGCTATGCATTCTAATTGGCCCCTGTGTAGACCTATGGCTATTGCTCCTCAATCATCTCCAGTACGATCGGTCAACCCGGGTGGTATACCTACTTCAACCTTCCACAAGAGGGTGAACCGGGATATGCTACCATTACGACCCCAGCCATTTCCACCGCCAATGGCGTTTTCAGTGCTGGGGGTGCTGTTGGCACATTATTCATAATGTGGTCTTGCGATTACTTTGGTCGAAAAGTCAATATTCAGTTGGGTGCTTTCTTTTCGATGTTTGGAGGGGCGCTTCAGGGAGGCGCGAACTCTCTCAAGTATGTATTGCGTCATTGTTCCTTCTTCTCGAGACGATCTCCTAACGGCCTTTCAGAATGTTCCAAGCCGGCCGATTTGTGTGCGGTCTTGGAATCGGTATCCTCGTGACAGTTTGTCCCATGTATCTGTCCGAGATGTCGAGTGCTTTCCGCCGTGGTTGGCTGGTCGGCCACCATGCGATCTTCCTGGTTTTCGGTTATATGCTTGCTGGCTGGGTCGGTTATGCATGCTACTTCGCTGAAGGAGAATTGGGCAGTTTCGGATGGAGGTTTCCCCTTTGTCTCCAGTGCCTGCCAGCTCTAGTGCTACTTCTCGGATCACCATGGCTTCCTCGTTCCCCTCGATGGCTGATTTCCAAAGGGAAGCATGAGGAAGCTAAGATTGTGCTGCAGAAGCTTCGCCAGTCACCAGATGATCCCGACAACCTGGTTGCTAAAGAGGAATATTTCCAGACGGCGGAGCAGATCCGCCTTGAGGCGGAGAGGTTATCCACTTATGGTAACGTGTGGAACGCAGTCCTACGGAAGAAGTCGTACAGAAAGCGAATGGCAATTGGCTTCCTTACTCAATGGGGCGCTGAATTCGGCGGACCATTGATCATTGTGAGTACTACGTTTCAGAGAGGCCAAATTTGTACTAATATACTGACCTGAGTAGAACAACTACGCAGTCATTCTATACACCAACCTTGGAATGACCGGGGGCATGCCTTTGCTTCTTAGTGCTGTTTGGCTAACTACAGCTGGTAAGGGGACTTGGTTGTGCTCAAGGGTTATATGCTGACAGTATCGCCAGGTCTTATATACAATCCTCTTGGCGCCTGGCTTCACGATAAGGTCAACTCACGTCGTGGCATGTACATCACTGGCTTTGTTGGCATCGTCATCTCCACCTCATGTTTGGCTGCTATGACCGCTGAATATGCAGGCACCACGAACAGGGTTGGAAATGGGTTTGGAATTTTCTTCATTTACCTCTACCTGGCATTCCAAGGGTCAGTACCAGCCATTTATTCAATCGTTCTATCGAACAACTACTTACTTCTTGCAGAACCTTCTGCGACACTACCATGTATCTCTACGTCTCGGAGATTTTCCCGACCGAGATCCGCCCAATTGGCATGGGGTTCTCGCTTTTCGGTCAATTTGCGGGTACGTTAGATATCCTACAAAGGCGCCTGTGAGTCTTGTGATTAACTAACTGGTCATAGCCACCCTCATTTTACTGCAGACCGCCCCTATGGGTTTCAACAATGCTGGCTGGAAATACTATCTAGTTATCATCTGCTGGTCCGTTGTTTTCATTCCAGGTAGGTTATCATGCCCGTTAGACTTCCCGCTCTCACTTACATTTTCGCAGTGATCTATTACTTCTTCCCCGAGACTGCGCGATTGACACTCGAGGAAATCGCAAAGAACTTTGGAGAAGAGGTCGCTGTTCACGTCACTGATGCGACCGACGAGGAGAAGGCCCAGCTCGATCGGGACCTCGCCGTAAGATCAGACAGCTCTGAGCCTACCGGATCTGTCAAGGGTGCTGAAGGTGGTAGCAAGTCAGTAACAGAGGGAGTCCACGAGGCGCCAAGGATTTAATGAAAGCCCTGGGCTACGAAGCCTAACATAAGGTGTTATTGCATACACTCTAATCTCAAGTGATCTCCTTCGGGCTCTACGGAAGCAACTCCGCTCGAGACCCTTAATAGCTGGCCACACCGGCTGTCCAGTCGCTCCTATCTGCACTCTATTCTGACCCGTAACTGGGTCATCAGAGTCCGACATTTATGACGCTCTCTTACCAGGCATTATCAGAACTGCCTAGGACTTGCCGTCCCCAAATCAATTCCGGGACCACGATGACGAGGTTTCATTGCACCTCATACGATCTTTACGACATGACACTACAACATAGATGGGTGGAATCTTATATAGGCTATACAGTGGAATCTTAATTTATGCCAGGTAGTGTGATAAGTTACTGTGGCACATTTTCTCAAATATTGATACTGCGTTTTATCCTCTAACTGATTTTGTATGTTGGCCATGATGCTAGCATCGCGGTGCTTCGTTCTGCTGATCAGGGGCTAAAGCAGCGTCATATAATCATCCCGCATCGCCTTCCAGCTAACGGGGATATATTGGAGTATATTTGGCATTGACTTATCTGCCCTGATCGTAGTACTTTTCATTCCTCGTATTGCTAACTAACGACATCTTATCGAAGCTCTGACCTACTAGTACACTGTTCAAACAATGTCTTTGTACGCCGACACAACCCTTGATCCCGTCAAAAGTTCCAAGGTAAATATTCACAATATGTTCTCTATGGTATTCCCCGTATTATGCAAAATAACTCATGAATCAAGGGCATCCACCTAATAACCCCCCCTACCCTGAACGGACGAAAAGTCCACATCCTCCGGGAAGAGCTTAAGGAAGTCTACAGCCTCGACCGCACAACCAGCCTCATCGACATCGACACAAAGAACAGAGAAAGAATGGTTCCTGAAACTCAACCCCCCACGGTATATATATATATATAACATTCTACCGCTCCAGAAAGTCAAACGACGCCAACTAGCCTATCCCCTCTGGCCGAATCTCCCTTGTGATAGACAACACCAGAAACCCACCCACCCAGCATGGAAGCCGCAGAACTGCTCTCCCTCGTCTCCAGCACGGGTGGGGGGAATGGTATTATGAATAGATATTCATCTGGAGCTGGTGATTAGGACGGAGTGAATCTTAGGATGTGGTGATACCGATAGGCTTCCCTGCCTGGTCAAAGGTGGCCATGCATTGCCAAGGTAGGGCTTAGAGGGTTGGGTATTTAGATATAATTGCACCATTCGTTAAGACTTGTGATAGGTTACCGCAGGAGGATTGGCAGGCTTCTATTGAATCTTCCAATTAGTGCTTGTGAACAGCAAAAACGACGGAAAAAATGACTCAAAACAGCCAACAGGCACATATATACCAGGAACCCGAATTACCAGAGGCATCTGGGATTTGGGAGCCAGGTCTATATACCATAGTCCGACATAGAGCTGGTTCAGCTTGATCACAAGCGATTAATCTTGAATACGTGACAAGTCGTTGAGTAACCATAAGGAAAGGGTTCAGAAGAGGAAATTCTATGTAATAAGAGGCTTTTTTTACATGACTAGGGTTGCTCAACAGTATCAGCTACCACTTATGAACATCTGGACCGAAAGTTCGCTTGCTTTCATCTAGTTACTTTGCCTATGTATCGGGATAGAGGTGGTTAGGCTAATCTGGAGGGAATGAAATATGTTCGGTCACCTATCATCGGTGTGGCCAAGATAAGGAACTTTCACAGATGATACAAATTGCCGGCTTCGACACGCACGTCTCTCATTGAGGGATGATGCTACATGATGAAACATATGCATGGGTCCAGATGAACCCCCAGCAATTTAAAACATAGATAGTAGGCGCAACGTATCCTCAGAACCTTGAGCGCTGCGTGCTAAATCAGAAGATGTCAAAGCATATCGATCAAAGTCGAACCATAATAAGATACACTTGACCATCAGCAACTCAGGTCTATAAGATATCAACAGCACTACACGGAGAGAGAAATGGCCTGGTTGGTTATAAGAGAAGAAAAAGAAGACCTTCTTGACCCTTTGGTCGATCTAGTCCATCACACGGATGAAATATATCTAGTTCATAGTCAGAATAAATATACATTGTTGAACATGTTCTCAATATATGTTAATTAATAATTTCTCCACAATACTTTTAATCCTGTTTTTTGTTACTGTTCTTAAGAAAAGGAACTAGATTAGTAGTCTTGAGACACCGGGAAGTTTGAACACAGAGCTGAAGAATAGTATGCACTTATCGACTGATATTCAGTCATTCTGTATTGACCCGAATCAAAGCTTTGGCGCAATATATTATTCCTCAAATTTTGTACAGTAGCCTATGCTTACAGAGGGTGTAGAGTCTCGTCATTGCAAGCAGGGAGGAGGATATATATTTCAGAACTTCTTGATGGCCAGTGTGTGAGAGGACGAGTGGGAAAGGTCAGATCTTTCAAGACTGCTACTGACTCTTTACTGGTAATAGTACATATACTAAATATCTACGGTATTGAATGTAAGAGTGATCTTGAAGAATTTGGTTCGAGCCGAAGAGCATGCACTGGCCTGGGTGTACAACGCGCATCTGTGCTAAACATGAGTGTCTTCATGGCGGCCTTGCCAAGAATGCTCCCATCGGTAAGAGACGGATAACTAGAACAGGCAAATTTACTAGGTAGTGATAGTGCATGACTATAGAGTAGTAGGGATCATGGTGGAGACCAGCCTGTTCTACATAGATTACAGATTGGAGTCTTACAGCCAATGTCGCAGTCGCGTCTGGGGATTTCTAATAGGAAGCATCCTTGGGGAAGTCGCACAGCGATATCCGATGGTATTCCAAGATGACAGGGGTGTAAGACGGTGCTTTCTGAGTGGCAACCCCCGCTGGAATGATTCTCATTGTATCTGCCTAATCGCTAGGACTGGATGTGTCATTATATTCATCATGTCGTCTATTGATCCCTACCGCAGACCATCAAAGTCGCAGGTATTCGGCTGATGGTCTCCACCGACAACTGGAGTCAACTCGAATGCTTGTGGATATATTTCATCGTATATCTTCAACAGCCAGCAATACCCGGCACCTCCATATCAACATCAAGCATCTTAAACTTCTGAGGAATCACTAGGTTCGATATCATCTGTACTGAGCATCTACAAGACCACCTTACTCATGGTATATAAAACACAAAATGGGCTGGAAGTATCCACCTCACAGCCTTCAGCGTAGTCCAAGTAGCCTAGAGTAGTAGTTAAACTTCCTTTCCCCAACCCGTTCAATAACCTCAGCAACTTTTCGAGTAAACTACGCACACTTGGAAAATGAAGTCGAATCTGCCTCACAAAAACCGCCAATCTCCGCGCCCTCCTCTTTCCGGCCTCCAATATCAGCTGTGTCAGGTGGATACGTCAATCCTAAAAAGAAGAGATCGACCTGGAAGCCGGGCTTCTCCCTTCGGTGTCCCGGGCTATCACGAGCGACCCTTACTAGGGACGGCGATTGCTTGAGCTAAAAGATGACTATGACCAGGCGGAGTCGATAATAATCAAGTAGTGGTTTCTGGATAGGACGAAACCGAGCTAGTAGTACTGTTTAGATTGCGATAGCTGCTTTTGGTTCTTGCGGGGGCATTTGGTTGATTCAGTCCCTTACGCGGATACTTCAGGTTCGATAGGAAGTTTTCTATCGTTTCCCCTCTTTTCTGCTTGGCGTTATTTATTCCTTGCTTCTCTCTGGTTATTTTGAGTCTTTCAGAGGGGTCTGTGGAAGGAGCTGTATGCTGTAGTGGTACATACATGTCTATATCATCTCCCCCTCTTTTCCTTCCAGCTGTGGTAGTAGGGCCAAGACAAGACAAAAGAACACGGAAGATACTTTCTAAGAGTGAAAAATGCTATTACTACCTGATTTCATATACGAGGTATGCACATTCCCATATCCGGTATCTATAAATAACTATTAGGACCACTCTTGATTGAATGTACCAATTAGCGACTAATCGAGCACTATAGGATAATATATCCAATTCAACCATCACCGCATAATCCCTGCCAGTTCCCGAGCTCAACGTACTGAGAACGACGCATATTATCCGATTATATCACCCGCGGACCTCTTCCGAGGTCAATCACCGGGTATGCGCATGCACAAACCCGAGGCTATCCCCGGTTCTGTCTCCTAACAGCTTAAAGTTTGTAGTTACCTTACAACTAATTCTTTAGACTCAAGTCATTATACTGAGTTTAGGCCGCGGAGAACTCCAACCTCATCTCATCTCATCCGTGGTCATGGTCCGGGAAACAGTGGTTCAGCTCTCAGACCTCTTGTGTTGCAGCGGTGCGGTTGGTCCGTGGGCTTGTTGGGACGGTAAAGCTTTTCTCTCTCCACTGAAGCCCTCATGTCAGCTCCATTTACTTGCTCACGGAGTATGGTGGTCCGTGGTTCAGTTCATTAAAGGCACAACCTTATTGTCCTCTGTGGATGGTCTTAGTGGTTATTTCCGATATTGTCCGATGGCGGCCGAATTCAATGAGTGAGACGTTTGGATGGCTTTGTGGCTTGGTAAATAAGCTTTTTTTTTTTTTTGTTTCCGGGTGATAGGATAATAGACGGTTGAGACCGTACAAGAGAAGCGTGATACAATTTAAGGAACGGTAGAACATGGGCATACGTAATGGAGGCATATTTGATCAAACTGTCCCATCGTTCACTGGTGGGAGGGTTGATTAGTCGAAGAACGTGTCGATGGCTCGGAGACGGGATTTGGTCGAGCATCAGCTCCTTGCCATTTTAGGGGTGGAATCGTTCTTCCAGATGCATGGAAATAGCAATTCCGCTGGAATAGGGTCCTATGGAGCACGTGAGGGCGCATAGTAATCCGCCAGGCTCCAGGATCTTCCGGAAAATAGTGGAGTCGCCTGACACTCGGGGAAGTCGTAGTTTGGTTCTGGGATACTACTTCCCCGAACAGCATAGATAAGCGCATACCCCTTTTCTGGTGGCTTGAGCGCTCTTCGTTCGTTCCCCTCCTGATACTGTTTTGGGTTGAGGATGAACACCCTTTTCGCCGAAATTAAGATAGTTAGAATCTAGATTAGATCGGCTTTGTTAGTAATCGGTTTTCATAGACCCAAATCGCGAAGACCTATTTGATTGTGTGTTGTGGCCCGCGATGATCTTGTACGGACAGTCTCCGAAGGGTCAAGGGCGAAGCCACTAGTATATGATTCGTGCGGCGGGAAATCATTTCTAGAAGATTGGAATCCATCATATGCGAAGGTAACCCAGAGCATGTGAGCTATAAGTGAGATCCTATACTCTTTACAACGTATGGTTAATATTGCAGTGTCGACGGAGGATTCTCGGAATCCAAGGCATGACCGCCCGCGGGATGGCGTCGGCGATCAACCCCTCTGGCGGAGAAAGGAACCTGGTTTGTGAAAGATGAGCACAGCCAAGGGTGGCTGACGGATTTTTAACCTTAGTTGGTCCATATTTCTGGGATCCTCGAGCGCAGACTGAGTCTCGACGGTGGTGATCCTGACCATCAAGGTCGTGCCATCTTCCGGGTACGGCGGAGCTCACGATACCGCAAATTCGATGTGCATGGGCCCAGATGTGGCCATCTGCCGACTAATGCAAATACCGTCGATCGTGGCACAGTGGGAAATAATAGGAGCGACTATAGGAAATGAACTGACCCTGACGCAATGATTGCCAAATGACATTACGATTGGCCAGCGAAGCAGCAGTTCCACGGATTGGGTCAAAGTTAGCGATGCTCACCGAAGCCTTGATGGTCAGCAACGGGCCGCAGGATCAGCAGTCCTCCGTACCGTCGCAAGTGACAACGTCTTGATTGTTAATGCTCGAACCTCGCCCACGTTCTCAGGGACCGTCGATAATTAAAGTTACAAAGCCTCTGACATACGTATGGCATAGCCGAATCTTATTCATTTATCGTCCCACTTCATTTGTATGAAAGGTGAAACAATCCATGCTATGCCCAAAGGGTTCGGGATCTGGTCGATCCTCAGTTTGAGCCATTGAATGAAAGCCGGTGCCGGTGGGAGCCCCCGACGGTACCAAGGACGGATGACTGTCTAACTGCATGATAGAGTTGAAAGCTCGCTCTTGGCATACTAGGTTTAACTCACTAGGAGGCAACCGGAGGAAAACTCCCTCGCGTAGGTGTGGTACCGCGGAACCCGCCCAATGTAACCGCGGCTTGCGTGCAAGATGTTCTCGAATGCCGCTAGATGTTATTTAGCAAATACTAGGCAGGTCGGACGTGATCGATTGCAAACATCAAACTGCATGGGTGCCTATAGGCAGTCCTTCGGTGACGAATAAAAGTCACCCATATAGGTTCTTGTTGAGAGCAGCGGACCAAGGCGGCAGAGTCCGACTGCAGCTAGGGACCCGGCCATATATTACAGCAAGATTCTGTGCGTCGATCGGAGTTTTGACTGCAGGAGATATTGCTATCTTTTCCCATTTTGCAAATGTACTAACGTGGATAAATGCCATTGTTCAGTCGTAACGATGAGGGCAAGGCCACGCGGGAGGCGGGTCTAGGAATTCTCGAATGAAATAGCACGAGGTGACAACTTGTTTTAGTAAAGTGGATGAATCCAGTACTTGGCGCTAGTGATAGCCAACATTAGTTCACATCTCGGCGTGAATCCTTCTGGAGACCACACCCTCGGCTTCTCCCCATGGCCGTCGCTACTGGTCAGGGGAAACCAAATCCTTAGCTTTGGGACGATCACCAAATTATAGGCCAGCAGCACTATCGGTTGGAATCGTGGCAAGTGGATCCTGTGGGGACCCGAGAAACAGTGGCCCAGACTATTCAGTCCCGGATGAAGTCACAGAACCAGAGTAGCTGGCCGTTCCATTGGGCAGACACGATGAGGTATTTTTTTCCACCTGCAGATGAAAGGTTATTATCCCACTAACACTGGGGACAGTTGCCTGCAGCTAACGACTGCAGTGACCGCGGGATTGGAAATCATGAAGAGCAGCAGTACTAGGGAACAATATGATCAACCACTAGGGTCGATCAGCAGTCGTGGGAGAATTTTGGACCAAAGACTCCGGGCGGAGGGAGCATCCACCACCACCACCACCGCCCACCACAGTATGACCACACCACCGACACACAGACATTATGGTAGCATTTCATTTACTCCGCTTTCGAGTCGTGGGGTGGGTTTTAGAATTCGAATGGTGTGGATGATCCATCTGCATGTGAGAACTTGAGACAAGTACGGAGTACGTAGGGGGGAGGGAGAGAAACGGAAAACTGAGATAGATTGATCGCATCTCTCGGACCCCAAGTCTCAAGAAGAGTCCACGGATGGGAAATTTTGAAGCGTTGAGGAGAAAGAAAAGGACGACGACAAGTAAATTCTCACCTCCAGGATTTTCGGTCGCCCGCAAATCCAAACGGGGTCAAACCAATCAAACGCTGCCAAAGCCCCCACTGGAACCAATGATTGAGACTCGTCGCCTGTTTTTGGAAGGTTCCAATGAATTCCCAATTTAATTAAATTGCAATTTAAAGGTAATTTTGAAAAAGAGTCTCTGACGAAGTTAACTTTTCCATTTTGCCTCTTCAACTACGACTTGGAACTACCACGACTTGGACTACGACGACTTCGAACTACTATTCTTATCACACTGCATCCTCAGACTCACTCTCGTTTCGTCCCATTCTTTCTCCGACATATCTACGTCTCACTTCCCACCTCCCCTTTCCCCCCAATGCTCTTCTCGTCAATGAGGTGTTAATCCGTATTCCTTATCGTCTGGCTATCCCTCGCTCAGGCTGGACCTAATTCTCTCGCTCGCCTTTATGTCTCAACCCCACGGTTTCTCCTCTACACATCCCATCTCACCTCATGGAGATCCAAACGGTAGTCTGCGCACAGGCAAAGCCTCCTTCAGCAACCCCGCAATCTGCGCCCGCACCTGAGAAACGGAAGCGGGTTCGCCGATGGCATCACCGGGGGTTTACCGGCTGTTCGACATGTCGTCGACGTCATGTTCGCTGTGACGAGGCGTCACCCTCGTGCAAGAATTGTACTCGTTTAGGTCTCGAATGTGACGGCACACAAGGGCGGATGACCTTCAAGGTCTATGGCCCACCTCAAGCGCCGGAGTCGTCCTCACCACCGAAAAAGCGAGAGCCAAAGAAGCCTATCTCGCATGTCCTGGATCCCACCGATGGCAATAAATTGATTAAAATTGAACCTGGCGAAGAGGACGAATCCTACGATGCGCTAGTAATATCCCCAACCACCATCCCGGAATCGAAGCCGATGAAATATCGATTCCAGGAACCCATTTCACCAGCCGTCTTCATGTCTTCGTCATTAGAGTGTGTCGATGGCCGCTATTATACTCATTTTATCGACAGTGTGGCAACCTTGCTCCTGATCTACGACAACTCAATCAATATCAACCCTTACAGACGATATTTCCCCGAAATGGCCCGGTCGTCGCCGACCATGGCCAACGCGATGCAGGCGCTAGGAGCATTACATCTCGCCAATACATCTAGAGGCCAACAACGGAATCTACACTTCCAACGGGCCATGGGCAAATATGGAGAGGTGGTCAAGTCTTTCCGCACTCGATATACCCAGCCCGACCAGAACCTACAATTAACAGACCTCGCCACTTGTTTATTACTCTCTCTTTTCGAAGTAAGTCGCTTCTTGTTGTCCCGGCATCTGCAAATACCCTTTCACCATGCACATGCCAGAACTTTTTTTAATAATCGCTGACTTCACTAGATGATGGACTCCCAAAATCATAACTGGAACATTCATCTGAAAGGTGCTCGTGAAATATATCGTCTACTCTTCCTTCCGAATAGCGATCCGGCCAAAGAGGCGCAACGCCAAGCTGAAATGAACCACCCACTTCGACATTTTCTTGTTTCTCTCCTGTCTTACCTTGACGTCGCAGGCGCCTGTGCTACTAGCGAAGGGACTGTAGTTGAGGGCAGCTACTGGAAAACGCATGGTGGCGGCTGGGAATATAACCTGGGTATCCCAAGTTTGTCGGCGGAGACACCCGCTGAGAATCCCCTTCTGGTGGAACTTCGCCAGTGTTGGTCTCAGATGATGGAGATCCAAGCAGCTATCAGTTCTTTCGGGAAGGCAAAAAGCGAGGGGCAGATGCCCCCTGAACAGCAAGACTTGTTGTACCAGGATCTGATGGGACGACTAGTCCAGTGGCGGCTCAATGCTCCGAAGTGCATCCAAGAAGTTGGCGAGCTAGATGACGAGAGCTTGAAGCGATATCCCTACCCACAGGTCTTAGAATATGCTGGCTGTATCGAGTCGTACGAAAAAGCGACCGTTGTCTACTTGCATAAGGTCGTAGCCGCAGACCGCCCAGACCGTGTTCCCCAAAGAGCCCTGCTAGACATGCTTGCGTCGCGAATCTTAAACCTGATTGGGAAACTTGCCAAAGATGTGGGCCAGCTGGCAGTGCTATGGCCTTTGTTTACCGCGGGCCGCGAGACTCGTAATGAGCGTGAGCAGAAATTTGTGCGTGAAACCATGATTAACCTACAACGGTTTGGGTTCAAGGTACGACACAATGACTCCCCAGTACTAGTAACATGAATACTAATCTTTTTTCACAGAACGTTGAAAAGGGCCTGGAAGAACTGGAGAAGGCATGGTTCAAGCAACGCGCATTCCCTGAGGGGTGGATAGACAGAATGGAGGACGTTCGCTCCTCGATCCTCCTTCCTTAAATCTTGCACAAAAGCGCTCGATACGACCAACGAGACTTTGACCCATCTGGTGCAACCTAGGCACCAGCTACAGAAGACGATTGTATCGTCTGCTACCCGCAAAACCTCCCTCTCATGGTCAAGGGGGGTACCATCTTCGCAATCTTTGGTTTTCATTAGCGACGGTCGGGAGTCTGCGTTCTATAAATCTGGCGTTAGGGCGCGGACAGCCATCGAATGGGGCCGGACCCTATGATTCTGATTCGTGGAATTACTAATAATGTTGGGATCATCCTGCGAGGCTACTCGCTACTGGATATCTAGCCCTGCTCATCTGCGGGACCCTCCAACATGGAATTGAACATTTAACCTTGGAAAATATGGTGTATAGAACTTGGGGCGTTTTCTTCAACAAAAATAGACATAGATGACACAGTGATTGATTGACCAACTATTGACATATCTCATGAAAATAAAAGAATCAGTGTGCAAACCACGATACCAGCATGATTATGCGGAATGCCATGATCTATAACAAAGACATCAACGCTATAATATACATTCTAATCATCCACCCAAGTCTATCACTGGCCCCTTTTTGAATGTTGATTACCACCACCTTCTGAGTACCGGACACACTTGTCCCTTTTTAACGTAAGTCAGATCAGAGCCGTGCGCTACTGGTCCCCTGATCTTCACCCGAAGGCCGGTCCACCTCCTCGACAGTCGCCTGCGCGCCTTTACTATCGATGAAATGCGAGATCCGGTTCCGAGGCAACCACGCCTCCTCAGGCATAGCAAAGTACGAAATAATCGCAAAAATAGTAACACCAGCCATGATAATCGGAGCATCTACACTGAAAGTTAGTCAACCGTTCACAAAAACCACCCTCACAACAAAGCAGAAAGCAAGATGCAGAAACTCGGGGAACGTACAATTCAAATTCGCCCCGGTAACGGGAAACGCATACGGCGAAAAGAGAACGGCAACAACCCATCCATTCCAGAACACGCCGATGAACTGGAACGGCTTGCTCCATTTCCCGAGACTCCACTGGGGCTTGGGAAAGCGCTTCGGAGTGCAGAGGAGACGGGCGAGACAGATGAGGCCGTAGGCTGCGGCGCTAGGAACACCGGCGGCGGAAACGAGCGAGGTGAACGCCACGTCAGAGGGGAGGAGGGTGCAGGTGACGAGGGCTGCTACGGCCCAGACGACGATCACGGCGTTGCGGGGCTGGCCGTTGTGGACTTTGGAGACCCATGACGAGAAGGGGAGGACGCCGTCGCGGGCTACGGCGAAGACGAGACGCGAGGCCGCCACGATTGCGATTGCGGTGTTCTTGTTGGGGAGGGGGTTCGTTAGTTTGGTTGTGATGGATGGGGTAGTAGGGGGTTAAACTTACGAGCCACAGGGCGACGATGCAGATTACGTTCATGAAAATGTGGCCGCCTCTACCGAGGACGACGGCGTAGAGGGGGACGAATGGCTGTGGGGAGCCGAATGAGAAGAGGGTATCGGGATCAGGCTGTAGGATGTGTTAGCTACAGGGAAGCTCGGTATGTTTCCCTGAGTTCTCTGGACTTACCGCGCAGAAGAGGAACAGGATAATGGTGGCCAGTCCGCCAATTCCGCTCACGACTGTGCTCCAGAAGATGCCCCGCGCTGCGGTGATAGAGGCGTTCTTGGTCTCCTCGGCGACGTGACCGGATGCGTCGAATCCGATCAGGATACCCGCTGTCGCGAGATAGGACAGACACCAGTTCCAGCCTGGCGGAGCGCCGGTGCCGTTGTAGGTCGACATGAAGGCTTCTTCAGCAGTTCGGAAACCCCAGGTGTTGTGTGCGCCGATGGGGAGCCAGATGATGTTCAGGACGAAATCGAGCAGGACAACCATGGATGAGAACCAGAACACGTAGCGGAAGTATTTGGCTGTGGAATGTGAGTGATATGCTTCTATATTAGGAGGGGCCGGAGCATACGCGGCATGAAGTTTAAGATAGCAGCCAGCGCGAGCAGGATTTCTGTGCAGATCCATTGAACCGCACGGAACTTAACGCTCGATGTGTCCGTGGGGAAGTCGACATTGAAGACCGTCAGCTCCTATGAGACTGGTCAGTACTCCCATTCCGGAGTAGGCGAGTTCTACTAGTAATGAACAAGACTCACCGAGAGCATGTAGTTCACCGCCGCTTGAGTGTTACTGGCGCAGAAAGTCGTCCATGCGGTAGTACTCCACCATGCGACGATGAAACCAAGGAGTCGACCAAATCGAGGACCACCGGCTTCGGCAGCCCACAGATAAATCGAACCGGCAGACGGGGAGGCAGAGCAGACCTCCGCAATGACCGCGGCAGTGATATAGGTGAAGACCATGGTAACGAGATAACTCGTCCTTCTTGGGGGTGAGCGACGGGGTACCATACAGAAATACCAGAAGCCTTACCAGTAGGCCAAGTTACCCCCGGCCGCAATACCGGTACTGAACGTAACACGCACACCACCGACGAAGTAAAGTGCAGCTGATGAGTTTTGTTAGCCATTCGAATCTTTCGTAACAGATTTCTTTGCCCTACCGAACGTGGTCGCAAAGTTCTCGAATAATGTATATGTTCTATGAAGGACCTGCACTTATGAGGGCCTGCTTACAGCTGATACGGAAATACTCCAACGACTTACTGGCTTGTAGCCCATGGTCCTCTGGTGATATGGTTAGTAATTGCCAGAGCGGTATCACGATAGTGATCTTCTATGCACTGGGGAATGCAAGCATTAGAAATCAGAAAAGGCGATGAAACGCACCAGAAGGGCTGCATCATCCTGCGACTCTGTTTGGCTTCGGACTTCCTCGTTGACGATTGGATGCGCATCCTGGTCAACGAGGAGATCGGCTTGCTGCTGAGCGGGCGCCATGGCAGCAGTGTCGCAAGGCGAGTGACTGCGGATTATCTTTATCTCAGATAACGCGCAAAATCCGCGACTCGAATGGATCAGAGGGGGAAAGAAGAACAAGCAGGAAAAAAAAACAGAGGTTTATTGTGACCTCCCAACGATTGAGTTTTACAGATAAAAATGTCAGGAACCTGTTGACCCCACCGTGGAAGCGGAAAAGAAACGTGAAGGTTTAAAAAAAAAAAAATTAAAAAAGCTAAGGTGAACTAGAAAGTTGGCGAAAATTTCCGGTTGTCTTCGGCCTCAGACCTTCTAAAATGACAGGGATTCTCTCGGCAGTGTACCCAGCAGCGCTTGGTGATCTTTTAACCGCAAGTTGGGATCGCTGAGGCCGATCGGAGATGACTGCTCCGCAAGAGTTGATATTTAGGAAGCCCGAGGGTCAAAAAAAGCTGGAGCTCAATTTCCTTTTTTTTTTCCCACTCTCACGAAGCCAAGGGATGAAAATGCCAATCACAGTAGCTGTGCGGATGGACTCGAGGCCAGTGGGTCTCAAGCTGTACCTTACTTCAAAGAACCTTAAGAGAGGTTACCGCGCCAGGGCCGGCCCATAAATGTAGGGGTTCGAATCTGAAGCTAATGGTCTGATGTCGTCCTTCTTTCACCGGTGTCTCAAAGGGTGGAATTGTTAAACTCGGTCCTACCCTCAAAGAATCGGCATATATGTATGTAGTCTGATCATCATCATCGTATAGTAGGCGCCAGGCCGTCATCGCATCATCTCTGCCCCACCGGCGGTGGAGTCGAGCCATTGTCGTAAGGAAATCCGTGCGATGCCGCCAAAAAGCCGTTTCTGTGGTCCGGTCACGGTTGCTCTTTAAGGTTGATTGTTGGGATAAACCAAAATGAGAGCTTTTTTTTTTTTTGTTTCTATAGTAGTACAAGGTATGTATGATCAACTGCAGCCTTAGGTTACCGGTGTGTCACGTTGTTGTCCCACGTGACTATCATCCGAAAAGGGGTGGTAAGAAAGTAGTAGGTAGCTCTCCAACCATCACCAGATATAGAGAGAGAGAGAGAGATTCACCTAGTTAACTAACGCGACCGTATGGTGATTATTAATTGATACCAAGCCGAGCCTCTCTCTTGTCTCGTAGTATTCGAACCATACACCATTAGCTATTGTAGTACACCACTGACATGTCTCAGACCCCTATCAGAGAAATGTTTTTGGCAATAGTTTTCTATAAATCCACCGCACAACATATACAGGGTAGTGGAACCTGGTGGCTGTCAAATCTTGATCCAAGGATAACAACAACCCTTGTCGATAGCCAAGTGGATTGACAGTCCTAGGGGATTCAAGGATTATATATTTTTCATGCAGAACTTTATGCGGGAGGCGCCGTACAACCCTTGAAACCGCCCAGGATTACCACGTCGACATCCTCATGGGATATCGCAACGCTTCGTTCGTGGTAACTCTCGAAGCTAAATGATATCTACGACAGGGGCTCTAAATTTAGACAGATCTTTGTGTGTTCAATTACGGTATGATGGATATTATCGTATCACGGGTGGCAAGAAGCCACGGAGAAAAAAAAAAACCATCATCGAGAGAAAGGAGAAGCAATTAAAATAAACAAAACAGGACCTATGTAAATAGGGAGAAAAGATCAAGATAATCGCTGAAACAGTGAGGTTAATGAAGTCGAGATGGGCTGTAAAACCCACATCAAAGTGTTCAGCTGCAGGCTTCACGACGCTATTTCTTTAATTTGTTTTATGTTAAATTCTAATGCAAGTAGATATATATTGTATAACTTCAATCGATGCGAGAAAACGAGGAAAGTATCACGAGACCGGTGCGTGACCAACCGGGCAGAAGGATAGCATGACAGGTGACTTGCTCCGTAAATCGATCATTGATCTACCTGGTGGAGAAATATTGAACGCTGCCAAGAAGAACAGCATCTTTCTCCACGTTACGCGCGGATCGACTTGCTTTCCCCGCGTTGGGTTCCCCTCAATGCCAACCCAATCTATTTTAGTTGCATGAGTCAATACCACCGTTTCCTTCTATCGAACCTATAGAGAAGCATGCCAATGCACACGGCGACTCGGAGGAATG